GCAATTGTGATTTCCTAGAAAAATGAATTTTTTCCTTATAATGTCATTATCAAATCTGTATTCCATTGCAAAGTGTTTCACATAAAGCAGGATATAAAGACATTTTGAATATAATAATGAATTGTTAGGTGATTTAAAGTAACTGTTCCATGTCTTCTAATATTTTAGAATTTTACAGTACTGATTACATATTCTTTTCAAGAAAGAAGAGAGAGCTATTATACAATTAGTTTCAATATAAATGCTCAAAGTTGATGCATTATGCATGCAAAGACCTAATTATTTTATGCTTAGTAGAAACACATCTTCCTTTGGATCTTTCCACTCAAAAAGATCGTTTGGAATTATTAGAGATTTATGTAAGTGTGACATTAGAGCTTGAACCACTAGAGCACATACATGACTCAATATATGTTTTGGTTTTGGGAAGTGCAACTCATAACAGTATAGTAAGATTTCAAGAATCTATCAGAATTACGCAAACTCATTTCATATAATCTTAAGGTTTAGTATTACAGTCAAAGCTGTTTATGATTTAACTTGGGAAATAATGTACATAGAAGCATTTTTTTAAAAAAAAATCCGCATCTGGGTAGTCAGTTGCACCATTGTTAGTTATTTAGAGAGTCCAAGTGAAAACAGCTAATTCTTAGAACCATGTAACAGTACTTCATCATCTTAAGAGAGTTGAGTTGGGCTGCAAAAATAAGTATATATAAACATTTGTTTGAACATCATTTCTGGAATTAAATGTCTCAATTCAGTGTATGGTCATCTTGTCTGATGGCTAATCACTTGCTTTTACCTACAGATTTAAGGCAAAAATATAGTGTCCCATGCAAATTAAACTATCAAATATTTTAACATAATTTTGGGTTGAAAGAAAATGAAATGCTGAGTTCTTGTATATCAATACAAGTCCTCATAGTTAATAATGCTACTATTAATTCAATTTTAATTCTACAAGTAATCTTTGCACTAAAAAATTTACACACTTTACTGAAAGTATTCAAGACAACAAAACGCCAGGGTAAGAGATGTCTACCATTTGACATGAGGATTAAGATTAAGTATTCAAAACTACATCACTGACTTCACTTAAAATTTACTGAATTCCATTAGATTTCTAAGTTTGTTAACCAACATAGCATGATTTAGAATGTTTGATGCTTACACTGAGGATTTATCTCAAATACCTTAATAAAAATCAAAGGATTTTTGAATAATGCCAAAAATTCTGGAGAAAAATTAAAAATACCTTCCAATGACTATTGCAAAATATTAAAATAATTCATTTTTCCTAAAAAGGAGAAAAAAGCTTTTTATAGAAAAATCTTATAACTACTATAGTAACACTGTAACAGTTAATGATGTGTTTTTTTCTTACCAATAATCTTTTCCTATTTTCAAATTACCCTTCACATTAGTTTCTTCCACTTTAAACCATGGCAGAAAAAAGTAATAAACTGGAACTCAAAAAATCTATCTAACTTCATATTTATCAGTAAATAATTAATCAAGATTAGTTTCTTAGCTGCCATGGCTTTAGTTCATTCTTCTGGATATTCCTGTAGAGACTTCCTAGTTTTCTGGGCTTTGCTTTTATGAGCTATATGGTGGAATGCATTCTGGATGTAAAAAATAATTACTTTTTACCCTTACTGTATCTTTCACTTTTATCATTGTCTGTCTGTGGTTGCATATTCCTAAGGGAAAGGAAACCTATCTCTTCAAGTCGCTTTTAACTATCACAGCACTCTATACACATAGGTACTTAATACATGATTTTTGAATAGATTGCTTTTCTCACTATTGTTAGATATTTTTTATTTATGATGCTACCTTAGTATTTTATAATAGAGTAACTTTCTGAAATCATTTTGTATACAAAGCCTATCATTAAACTTCTCAAAACCAAGTTGGTTTCACTGTAAAGTATTATAACAGATGGCAAGAAAGAAATAGATAAATGATTACTATTCACATTTAAGTATAAATACCTTCTTGCTAATGCAGATGCAGTCCATACAAGTAGGTTTTGCTGTCTCTGAGAGTCATTAAATAGCTTGATACCCCCCCATAAATAAGGGTGCCACTCTGAAATGTAAAACGTTCCAAAAAACCACTTGGCAAGACCACAGGGAATTTCAAATACCTCATACACCAGCATTAGTTAGAAAAAAAAGTTATATTCTCTAAGTGATTCTGTGAACATCAGGTAATCATTGTTAAGGGATAGTTTGTGACTATACAATAAGACAACACTCATGATATAATTGCTGATTTCCATGTGCTTTCATTACCTAATACTTTTTATGACTAGAATATTAAAATGTAGACATTTTGCATTATTCAATTTTGACCTACTGTAAGAAACATTACAGAATTAATTGAGTTTACTATAAATAATTGCCATAAAATTCTTACCATATTACCTTCTATCATTTAACAAAATCATGTAGATTTTCTTCTATCCAAATACAATAGTTCCTAGTATAATCTAGCTCCTTTACTGGTAACATTTTACTCTATCTCTATTGAATGCTTTTATTAATTATTCAGATTTCTGAATTGCAAAGCTTATTTTTAGAACAATATACTGATCTACCTTGCCTTAGTGACATCTAATCTATCCCATTATGTAATATCATTTTTCCCCATGATTAGCTCAAGCATTAATATTCTAGTCAAGAACCTTCACTGATATTGCTAGCAATATTATTAAGTTCAGACTTTATTTTCATTTTTTTAGTTTCTAGATCCACCATTCCACCACCATCAGTACATTGTGAACAAAAATCCTACACAAATGTATCTGTTTAATGATCTTATTGATGCTTGATAAACTGTATACCATTAAAAATATTTTCTGCTATTGCTACAGATTTCAACTAGTCAAATCCATGCATAGTATGGGTGTGAAGGGTAGGAGTTGATAGATTAGACTGCTTTAATAAAATAACTTAGTAAAATAGTAACAATAATTGATAAAAATTTCATAATTTCGTAGAATTTCAGACCTAGAACAGATTTTGCAGTTGACTTAGTTTCTCTAAATACCTTTGTATGTTGTGTGCTTGAGTTTTTATTTATGCTATTCCTTTTGTACATGCTATTCCCTTGTACCAAATATTGCATAAAATATAATTCAATGTTTTAATATAAAATTATCATATAATAAAAATATTACTATCCTTAATATATGCATTTTCAGAGTTAAGTATATTTCCCAATATCAGACAGCTCACAGATGGCAGAGGAGTAATTAAAAAGAGGTTTTTTTACATTCCTTTTGTACATCTCCCACCTCTCAAGGCCCCAAACCACTCATCCTGTCCTAATTCGATTGCTGCCACCCATAAGGTCTCCTTGATTCCCGAAGCTGGAGATTATGTTCTCAATTCTCATTTAATATTTTATATAGGCCTTTCTAGGACATTTATCCCCTTCTATCTTGCATGGTAGTATTACTATGATATGATATGATATGACATATGAAATAAATATAATTTCTTCCCTGAAAAACTGTATCTTCTCCCTGCCACACTGAGTACACAAAGCAATGTCTACTACAGATCAAAGTTTGGTGAAAATCACAGGCTTCATAATTAGTTTGACATAAGTTTGATTATGAACACAGTCACTTAGTTCTTTAACTTTTCTGTGTTTCAGTTTCTTCAGATAAAATTTGGACTAATAATGCTGATTCCTTATTGGTGTCTTTGAAAAGTAGTCTTGCTTTACAATACACATTTAAAGGATTAACTGTTTACTGAGTTATCCTGTCTTATATTATACCTTTAAATTTTAAATGGTAATGTAATTTAATTAATCTGCAGATCATATTGATATATTACCTTTATGCTTTGTAAACTGCACCTGTTTCACATATATGATTTTGCTTGTACCAAATATCACATAAAATATAATTCAATGTTTTATTATAAAATTATCATATAATAAAAATATCACTATCATTAAGATATGCATTTTCAGAGTTAAGTATATTTCCCAATATCAGACAGCTGACAGATGGCAGAGGAATAATTAAAAAGAGGTTTTTTTACATTAAGTACATATCCTATTCCCGGCCTTTTGAGATGCTAATATATTCTGGAAAGCATTGTATACAAGTGTATATATATATATATACATGTATGTATATACACACACACACTCATATATATATAGATATATATCTATATATCTATATATATATATATCACATATATATATGAATGTTTATATATATACACACACAAAACATCGGTTTCAGTGATATATTAACTCCTGTTTAACTTTGACTCTTTGGTGATTTTCAAATACCAACCAGTTAATTTAATTTCTTTTATCTTTCTCTTATACACAGCTCCTAAATCTTTCCTGTCTGTTTTTTGTTTCTTAGTCTTTTCTCTTTGAATTGTTTTTAAAGAGTAACCTGGAAGGTAACTTTTTCTCACCAAATCATCTTTATAACTCTGCTTTTTAAAACAGAAATAGTCAATTATAAGTTTTTCAGCAATTCAAACATTTATAAAAATTATTTCAAGGAAATGGTAATTTTTTCATTCTTATGCTAATTATTGTTATTAACATAAAGGCAAACTCCATCTATTAATCTACTTTGGTTTCTCAATAAAGAAAAAAAAAGTAGTTCACTATGTAAATAATTAAATATGCTTTATGGAAACAACCAGTCAAGTGGTGATTCTACTCTGAAATTACCTTGGAAGCACCACTGTGGAATTAATGTCTTATATTAAAATCAGTAAGAACTGATAACCATGGTTATCAAATATTTCCAGCTCTTCATTGCAGAACTACTAAATCCTTTTGCTTTTACATATGTTTCAATATAGCCAAACATTTGAATTATCTCAGTTATATCACTTCTCTTAAGAAACAACTTGTACTCTGAGATGAAGTAAACATACCATGGGGTGTGAAGAAACAAGGAAAAAAAGAGCAAAGAGGAATTAGAGAATCAATCTCATACTCACGGAAGGTTCTATACAATTCTTCAAGATCCAGGTGCTTGTCAGAGTTAAAATCATCGTATTTCAGCAGATCATACAAAGTGCAATCAGAAAGATCCTTGCCAAGCTCTTCCTGTTTTATCACCTGACAAGAAAATTATAACCATTCAATTATATCTGTTTTCACATTTCTCTAATATAATTAATTATATCTAATATTCACATAATAGATTATTTTAAGTCTGCAGTTGGGCAAATAAGCAAACTTATGAAAAATCCAGATTTTCAGTTACTGGAAAATTGTGTTTAACCATTTCAAAGATAAAAAGTTATAAAGTTAAGATAGGTATTTAGTGTTTAGTCCAAATTTTGCAATACAAAAATCTCACAGTAAGACCCAGAAAGTCTGAACTTTAAAAGGACAATTTGTATTTCACTGATTTTCTTTGTTCCACTTATACTAACTAAAGGAAATAACTTCCACATGAAAATGTCCTCCTGCATTTTGTGACCTAGGTCAAAATAAACAGAGAGGGCTCTTTCCCAACAAAAATAGTGATGTAGTTTGTTCCAACTTTTGTCCTCATATCATTTGTGAAAAATGAAGCTCGACTTGCCTTCCTCTGATGGAACTCCTCCCCAGCTGGAAGCTAAACCATTTGGGATTGTGCATTAAGTCCCTTGGTCACAAAGGAGCTATTAAGCAAATGACTGTTTCCAGGAGCAAGACAGAATTAATGCACCAATTGATGATAAAAGTCTATCCAAGTGTGAGTGAGGAAAATCATCAAACTGCTTTTCTGCTCTGTGTTCTATCCTATGAACTGAGGCTGTAGCTTTTTTCTACTCTACTGCTTTTAACAATTGCCTATCATATAAAAGACCTCTTCAAGACTTTTCAAACATTTCTGTCCATCTGGGTGACTGCAAAGCTGTGTCCACTCTCTTTCAGATTCTCCTACATAGAGAGGCAGTAGGTCACATTATGTGGAGTTGTGCATTACAGTGTGTTTTTTAAGGAGATGCAATATAATAAAAAAAAACACAGGCTCTGAAGTCAGCCAGCTCTGGATTCAGGTCCCTACCAGTGTCACTTAAGAGCTGTGTAAATTCTGGCAGATCATTTAGTATTTGCTCAGTTAGAAACTGAAGATAGTAACATCAGTCCCTCATGGTTGTGAATATTACACACACACACACACACACACAGACATATAGACAACATATAGTGCACACTCAAAGGTAATCATCTAAAGTTAAAAATGATGATTTTTATATAATATGCTTCTTCAATAATTCACTGCATATTTCCGCATCAGCTTGTGTATGTCAAGGTTGAATATTACTCTTGTATTATTGTTTCTTTTGGCAGAGCAATATGTTTCAGACATTGATACATCAATGGCAATTGCTGATACTAACTTCCAAAGATTGTCAGTTGCTTTTGAGCTATTTTTTAACCCTTTTGGAACACTCCTATTTTAAAAGCTCAGTCCTGAGTTTAGATGTGCTGCAGAGAAGAATCTGATGATGAAACTTGGTATATGTGTCATAAGAGACTTGAGCTCCCATCTCTAGCTCCCTGAGTAGTTTAATGATGATGGCATATGCATTGCTAAATATAACTTCTATAGTATAATGGGTTCCCTATTCTTGTGTATTATATTCACATTTCATTGGCTAAGCTGATACTTGCTACCATAGGGGGAGAAAGAAGAGGGAAAATGTTTATCTGCTTTAATTGTTTCATATAAATAAATATTGTTGATAGCAAGATTTAAGCCTTACGCTTTTGCACAGTCCAGCTGGAGGCATTAACAAAACTACTAAGGGCTGGAGCAGTTTCTCCTATAAGCCAAATGGGAAAACAAATATTGCTTTTCTATTTAGGAAGCAACAGACATCTCAGTTATTCTCCATCTGTTATTTGTTAGATCATGGAAAATGACTTTTCCCAGGTGGTAGGCGGAAAGTCTATTTGATCTTGCATCTCTCTGCTCTTCATAAAGATCTGCAATGCTAGCATTGTGATAATTTTTAGATGCAGTGATGTTAGGGTCTGGCCAGGAATTTTAGTAACATCTTAGTGGCTTATATTCTTATACCCTTTTCTAAAGAAGTGGAGATGGAAGATGTTGGGGCAAAACTTCATCTTTTCTGCTGTATATTCCTTTCTATTCTAATACTTTACCAAAGCCATGTACTAAATAAACTAAGAGAGTAGACTTTACCTTGTTTCCTGAGTGCTGGCTCTGGCATAAGACTAGCTTGATTTTGATTCTATCACGATTATACAACTTAAGCTGTGCGTGCTGTTTTAATGAGTGTGCCTCGGAAAAACTCATGGTTCTGGCCAGTGAGCCTTCTACAAGCAAGCCTGTTCACCTGTACTGGGTGACTCATTCCTTCATTCATCAGTATTTCTAATATATGTTTTTCATTTATTCCATTTTTGGTCAATGAAACAGCCAACTTAAAACATACTTCCTAGTAAATTTTTTTTCCACTGTAGGTGCCCTGATGAGAGCTTTGGCACAGTCTGGGGAGTTCTAAGTGAGGGAGGTACTTTGTTATGACTTTTCAACCATGAGGAAAAAAATTGCTTTAGATATACAGAGTTTTGGTAGCCTTAAACTGATGAGGGTTTGATTGTCAGGAAGAAAGTGTTATAGAAAATATAAGTAGATTTTTTTCCCCAGCGTACAGGGATACATTAAGCACTCTTTGGCCCTGCGCATCCAAACTCGCAGGACTCTAACAGTTCCCTATATTTCTTCCATGTGCTGTTTGGTACTCATTCTAAAAACTTTCCATTCTAGGCTCCCCAAAAATGCAATTATTTCTGAACTAGTGATTAATGGTAGGGCCAGACTCACTGAATATATTGTTATTTAAGTATCCTATGATGAAGTTTCAGCCAAGGAGATCACTCATAATTCCATTTATCTATTATAAAATAATGGAGATGTTTCTCAAATTTACCAGGGTTCAGGTGAACACACTAAAGCTAAAAGGAAAATAAAATTTTCCTCCTTTTTTCCTAACTAAAGATAAAGTTACATGCATCTTGGGTTCCACAGAGGTTAGAGTCATATAACAAGAGAGAAATACTAACAGAATGTACATCATCAAGGGAACTTCGACACACAGCCATCCAGAAGGGGTATATATTTAGCTTCAATATAATAGAACTCTCAAAATTGCATGAGGAATTGTAACTCAGGAATGATTCAGTGTTGTGGCACTATATTTCTTTTTTGTTACAAAATAAAAAGCAAAAGGAACTGTTCCTCCCCAAGTACTTTATTCTCCTTATTATTACCTTTCATTCATTTATCTGATCTTCCATTCTGCAGATCTTTTTTGACCATCTACTATAGGTCAGACACTGTCCTAGACTCTGAAAACAGCTAATTACAGATAGACAAAAATCCCTCTTATGTGGAATTTATATGCTAGAAGAGAGTGAGGCAGGGCAAGGACATGGGACAAGAGTCATGTCATTGTAACATCTACTTGCCTGCAAAAAAGGCCCAGGTTATTCTTTAACTTAATTTATATGTTGTTCTTCCTTTTCTTTCAGCCCCTTGATCAATTAAGTAACTTTGTAACCAGGACAGGAGGTAGACCTCTAAAGGGTAAACGAACTTACGTGGATAAAGAATGTCGAGATCCTGACCAACAGTCACCTAAATAACCTTATTCTCAAGATAAAACATCAAAGGATTTATGAACCACCTTTATACATCATGCCTTATGCTAACCCCTACCCAAAAGGGCCTTTAAACCCCAAACCCTAAACCCTTAAGTGCTTCTCCTCTTTGAGTTCACCCTCACTCCTGTTGTAGTGTGTAGTCTCCTATATCAAATAAACTTTCTTGTTGCATAAGCTAATGGCACTTGTCTCTGAACTCTTCTCCATGAAAAAGACAAAAACTCGCTGACCTCCATCCCAGAGGTAAATATCTTTGTCACTTTGTTATTTCATTCAGCTTTCTAGTCTTGGCACAATCCTTTTCTCTCTCTGTTTTATTTCAAACCAGTACTGAAGTGGAAGTTCTCAGACCATAATCTCACATAGTGGTCTGTGGCTTCCCCAAACCCTGGGATGGTAGCCCCTCAGATCCCACACCATGCAGATTCATGCAGACACTGGATGCCAGGTGACTCTGGATTCAGGAGTTGGCAAGGGATTTGCCCTTTGCTGAGCAGGTGTTCAGTGAGCTTCCCTTCCCTCCCTCTGCTCTTCCTTGCTCTCTGCTGCCTGCATGGCTGCTGCCATTCAGGGCTACTCTCACTTTAATGAATTCCTTCCTTACCTACACTCCTACCTACTCAAGATAATTCTTTCTCATTCACAGTCAAGAACTGTCCCCCATCCAGGCTGAGGTTTCAACTAGTGTGCAGGAAGAGACATCCCAAGGTGTAGCTGACCAGAAACAAGAGGAACAAAGAAATATATAAGCAAAATATATAGTATTTCAGATAATGATAAATTACCTAAGATAAATAAAACTGGAAAGAGAAAGAAAAGGTGTCAGGGGTGGTTTCAGGGATTATTTCCCTGCTATAGAGAGGTGTGGTTTTGATTTCTGGGGATATGTCAAGACATAGAAATCCAAGATTATTATACTGGTTCTTACAAAACGGAAAAGATACAGGGGGTTGATTTTGGTGGTCTCAAGGCAGGCCATGATTTTGAGAGTATGGATGTGGAGTGGAGGAGATGGAGGGAGTGGAATCTTCCAGTTCTGTGTCTTTTTCTTTATTCTCTTTGGTGGCAACAGGAGAAAACAGCAATTGTTAACTCAGGAAGTTCAAACCACTCACATGTTCAAGTTTTCTGAGCATTTCCTCATCCTTTGCAAACTACTTTCCTCAAATTAATCATAACCGTGTGAGAATCACAAAGGTCTTACTAGAATCAGAGCTCAGTGCTCCTGTGTTTTAAAGAAAGTCCATCACGTCTGTGTAGTTATGGAGAGGCAGGTAAGTTAGCTCACTCCTTTACTTGGCAAATGTGTAGGTTACATTAAAGTGTAAGGGCCAGAAAACAAATATACTCCTTTGGTAGAAATATACACATCCAGTGATTAGCATTAAGCTGCTACCACATACTCAATATGGGTTGGCTACTACTTAGTC